CCGAAAGACGAAGCTGGAGATGCCGTACTCAATGGTCTCGGGCACGTGGTTCCCCTGAAGCTCCTGAAACCAAGGGTTTAGGGTTTAGGGTTTAGGGATTAGGGTTTAGGGTTTAGGGCTCCTGAAACCACCCGGGCATCTGCTCGGCTTCATGGATGTCAAAGCTTTTCGTGTTCAGGAGCAGCTTGGGGTCCACCTTGCTGTACTTGGACCTTACAACCAGGGAAGTACAAGGTTAAACTTTCAGTTTACTACCAAATTCTAAGAACCCAAAATATATGTCAAGGTTGGGTAGTTATGAAACCCTATAGATCCCTTTAAAGGAACCCTATACATATATATATATATATATCTCATATATCCCCATAAAGGGAATTCTGTAGAACTAAGGGGCCGGATAATCTTCGCTTTGGGGTTCATCTTCCGCAGGATGTCCTCCAGCCTCGATGCCTCCTTCGGCTCAACCAGGTCCAACTTATTCAGGACAATCAGGTTCGCGCACTCCACCTGGGGACCCCTAGACTTTATAGGGTTTAGGGATTTAGGGTTTAGGGGTTTAGGGTTTCGGGTTTAGGGTTTCGGGGTAACCCTGATAAACCCTAAACCCTCCACCTGATCCGCCAAGAGCTGCGCAATGGTCCGCTGATCTGTGGCTTCGGCGCCAAGGTCTGGGCGCGAGTTCAACAACTCCCCGGTACCGTAGTCCTGTGTCAGTGTAATTAGCCCTAAAAATCCAAAAGAAACTTAATACTTCGGTACTTGGTTTACGGATAGTAGCTTTGTGGGTTAATATTTGGGAGAGTATATGATTATTGGGTACTTGGACCCTCAGGGTTAGGGACAAGGAGGAAAAGAAAACAGGATCGTCTTCATTGGCTGATTCTCTAACATATCAGGAAACCCAAACCATAACTATAGTCTCCATTGTAGTTTCTTTTGTTGGTTTGACCAATTATATGTATTAAGGATTTTATATCCCCCAAAAAGGAACTACGATGGAGACTGTAGGTAACAAGTAAGGAGCACCCTCCCCCAAAAAAAAAACAAATAATACATAACTCACCAAGAATCGTTCAAGAAGTTCCTGGCATCCACGACGGTCACCAGGGTATCGAGCCGGGCTACCTTTCCCAGCATCTGCTGACCTTCTCAGGGGCTGAGTACCCTAGCGGGTTTAGGGTGTAGGGTTTAGGGCTTAGGGTTTAGGGTTGAGGGCTTAGGGTTTAGGGTTCAGGGTTAGGGTTTAGGGCTTAGGCTTTAGGGTTTAGAGTTAAAAAGGTTTACCTTTTTCTTTTGAATGATAGTAGGATTGTAAGAGCCCCAAAAGGTTAAAGGTTACCTACTCAGCCACTAAGCCTTCTTACTTCCCCAATAAGCCAGGGGAAATAAAAGGTTAAACTTTCAGATTAAAATTATAAGAACCCAAAAATTTAAAGGTTGGGCATTCGGGAACTAAGCCTTCATGCTCCGCCACGAAGGTGGTGGCGACAGGCATCGGCTCAGAGATGCCAGTAGATTCGATCATGAGGTAGTCGAACCTCTCTCTTGAACACGGTTTAGGATTTATAGGGTTTAGGGTTAGGGCTTATAGAGTTTAGGGTTTAGGATGTAGGGTTTAGGGCTTATAGGGTTTAGGATGTAGGGTTAGGGGTCAGGGTTTAGGGTTTTTCTCTGAACCCTAAACTCCAAATCTGACACCCCAAGCCCGAAACCCTGCTCCGGAAACCGTCGACGACTTATGAGCTTGTCGGTTGAGGGGTTCAGGGGTTTAGGGTTTAGGGGTGTATTGTTTAGGGTTTCGGGGTTTAGGGGCTTAGGGTTCAGGGTTTAGGGGTTTAGGTGTAATCCTCATGAGCCCTACACGAGGTAGTCGAACCTCTTCTCTGCCGCCAGCTTGTTCACATTCTCGATAAGGTCTCCACGCAAGGTGCAACAAATGCAACCTGCATGATCGAAAGGACGCGGTTTGTGTTTCGAGCTGGCTCAAAGCCTGAGGCCAAAGGGTTATTTGCATTGAAAATCGTCAAAACGATTAGCTTCAGATTTCGCGCATTTTAACCGGGAAACCGTTCTGCATCTCGATCATCTTGTCCTTTCCAGTAATGAGCTGTGAGCTGGACTTCACCAGCATAGCATCCACGTTCAGCTCCGCCATGTCGTTGACGATCAGGGCAACCTTTAGTCTCCATTGTAGTTCCTTTTTGGGGATACCTTAGGGTTTAGAGTTTAGGGTTATAAACTCGTTAATATCTATTCGGTAAAGCCAAAAAAAGGAACTACAATGGAGACTATAGGAACGCGCAAGCCATCTTGGTTTGTAAGCACGTGTTGCAGGAGGGTCGTCTTTCCAGCGCCTCAGCCAGATGGCTCCAGGTAGGGTTTAGGGTTTAGAGTTTAGGGTTTGTTTAGGGAGCCAGGAACAACGCTAGACTAGAATAGAGTAGGCTAGAAGATTATATACCAATATGCTATAGATTGGGTGTCATCCGCCCAAGACAATAAGACCAAAACCGTGATTCCATTACCCTAAACCCTGAACCGGCTCCCAAAACAGGCGGGGCACCCAGAAAGCCGCTAAGAACGGTGACGGGAAGGAGTTCATCGTTTGCTGCCTGTGCCTCTGCCTCAACGGCATCGGTCATCTCCTCATCAGGGCTTCGTTTGTTTGTTAAACTCCTTTTCTGAGAGGCATGAGTCCCACGAGGCTGCAAAGCCAGGGTTTAGGGTTTAGGGGCATCGGTCATCTCCTCATCAACTTCTCCAAAGTCCATGGCGATAAACTCCTGCATCTCCTTCGAAGAAGCTTTTTTTAGACAGTAGACTCGCGAGTAAGTGCCACCCTTACATTAAAACAAACATGATAATGAACATCCTATGATTCAGGCCAATACAGAAAATGGGTTTGTTGATTAATGGGTCTTGCAGTACAGGTATCCACATGCAGATCGCAACATCTAGACTCACCAAGCTTCAAAGAAGCCTCTATAGGTGCGAACGTACATGTCCAAAAGATCGAGATGATCTCCATTTCTCCTCCGTAACCCCAAACCCTAAACCCTGCGCCCCCGAAGACCTAAACCCTAAACCCCCAAACCCTAAAACCCCAAAACCCTTAAACCCTCAAACCCTAAACCCCTAAATCAAACCCCCGCAAAGCCTAAACTCGCCAAGCCCTAAACCTCTAAACCCCTAAACCCTAAACCCCCAAAGCCTAACCCCGCCAAGCCCTAAACCTCTAAACCCTAAACCCTAAACCCCCAAACCCTAAACCCTCCAAACCCTAAACCCCCAAAGCCTAAACCTCTAAACCCCTAAACCTCTAAACCCTTAACCCCCAGATCCTCCAGCGGGATGTGGTCCACGGTAATCAGCAGCCGGGCCGGATTTTGGCCTCCCCCAAAAAACACCCCACCAACCTGAACCCAAAACCCCAAGGCCTTGAAAAAGCCCTCAAACCGAAAACCCTAAAAAAGTTACAGGGCTTAGGGTTTAGAGTTTAGGGTTTAGGGGTTTAGGGTTTAGGGTTTTAGGGTTTAGGGGTAAGCCCGAAAATCTGAAGCCTTCCCCGGCGGAATAGGGCGCTCGATGAAGGCATGGCTGCTTCGTCAACTTGCCTGCAAACTTGAGGCTTGGGTTTGTTTTGAGTTTAGGGCTTGAGGGATTGGGGGTTTAGGGGGGTTTAGGGTTTAGGGCTTGAGGGTTTAGGGGTTTAGGGGTTTAGGGGCTTAGGGGTTTAGGGCTTAGGGTTTTGGATTTTTTTCTGTCTTGGGTTTAGGCTTCATAAGGGTTGACTTGAACTTTTGGGGCCTTAATTTGTCGAACAGGACTCCTCCTAAAGGCACTTTAGTTAAAAGGGCTTCTATAAGGCAGTTGAGGGTTAAAAGGATAATACGGGGGGGGGCCATAAGAACTACGTATATGCTAGTATACTTGTCTTGAGGAACCCGAAGAGTCTCGTGCCTCCCTTCATGATCGAGAGATCACCGGGCTCTGTGTTCACCTCGCCACCCCTGTTCACGCGCTGGTTCCACTCCTGAATGACCTTCCTGGCGTCTTCTACAGAGAGATCGGGGTTTTCGGCCAAAGCCGGAATCGCACCTCCGCTAGATGCGTAGAGATCCCAGTCGACAGCATTCTCGGCGAGTACTGTACCCTCGCCGGCGAGTGTCATGGCGAAGCGGACCTCCACCATGTCATCGTGGTATTTTGTACATGCGCCGTCCTGGTTCACCTCCACCTTGATCTTCCAACGAAGGTCCTGGCTCCCCTTCCCCGACGTCTCGATGCAGGGCTCGTGAAGCTGCATCAGTGACTGGAGCAGCTTCAACAATGCCGCCGCGGCAGAGGAGCTCCCTCTGGCTATCTCCGACTGCTGGTCGACGGTACCTTCCTCACGGGTAATAAGGGACGTCTACAAGGTTCCTTTTGACGGAGTCTCATAAGGATCCATCCCATCATTCCCTGCTAAGAAGCAGCAAAACTCCAAACCCAAAAAGTCCATCTTCGAAATCCTCAACCCTAAACCCCAAACCCCTAAACCCTCCAAACCCCTAAACCCCTACAAACCCTAAAATCTCTAAACCCTGAAGCCTCTAAACCCTAAACCCTCCAAGTCCTTCACGAGATCCTCACCACATTGCTGGAGATCGGCGAAGAGCTGCCGCTTCCTCAGCTGCCCAGTACCCTGGCCCAAAAAAGCTTAAACTTTTCTTTTGGTTTAGGGTTTAGGGTTTAGGGTTTAGGGTTTAGTAGGGGTTTAATATACCAAAAACGTTTAAAGGTTACCTATTGGGCTCCTAAGCTTCAGCTGATCGCTGAAAGGCTCTCCGGGCTCGGAGTTGTAGCCTTCGTAGTAGCAGAGCCTTCGGGGCCGGGTTTAGGGTTTAGGGTTTAGGGTTTAGGGTTTTAGGGTTTTAGGGTTTAGGGTTTAGGGTTTTAGGGTTTTAGGGTTTAGGGTTTAGGGTTTAGTACCCTATGCGAACAATGAAAATTAAGCCTGCGTTCACTGTAAGTCTATGTATATATATATATACACACATAGATATGTAAAACACGCAACGCAAAGAAGTACATAGGTAAACCGACAAAATCGAAAACACACTAGCAGAAGTCGACTATGAAGAAACAAACTAATAATGTGAGACATGCGTAAAGACAACATGAAAAGAAACAACACATAAAGTCGTAACAAACGAACAATACTAAGTAAATATATGCATAAGTGCACATATATATATATATATATACATGCATAGATGTCATATATATATATATATATGTATATATATATATATATATATGCATAGTATATAGTTAGAAATTTCGCGTACATCTATATCTATATATGTATCTGATTTTTGTATGTATGTATGCACGTATGCATGTATGCATGTGTGCATGCATGCATGCATGCATGCATGCATGCATGCATGCATGTATGTATGTATGTATGTATGTATGTATGTGAACATACTGCATTTGTGTGTACGCGTGTATATACACATATACCGAAAAGGCACAAGGCTACCTACCAAATGCCCAAGCCGCTGATCTTTCACGGGCTCGCCAACGCTGCAGTACTCTCGGGCCCAAGCGAGCAGGTCTTCACAACCACATGCCTTCACAAAGCCCTTCAGTATGACTCCAGTTGTCGCGGGGGCACGTATCAGCTTCGCGACAGAGTCGGCAGAATCTGCTTGTGACGCGGTCAAGACGTGCAACGAGCGTGTCTGTTCCATGCTGAGCTTAGATGCTCAGGCTGACAGGGGCTGACACACTTCCAAAACTGCTGCGGACGAGCAACGGTGTCTCAGTACTCTCTCTCTCTCTCTCTCTCTCTCGCTCTCGCTCTTTTTCTGGGCCGCTCTCTCAGAGGCAATGCCTCTCGTCGTGCTCCCTGGTCAGAAGCACCCTTCTGCGCATCACAACTAGGCGAGCTGAAGCCCAAATAAGAGTGCTGAAAATCCGCAAAACCCTAAAGCCTAAAGAGAAGATGAAACCTGAAGTGACGGTACATGAGACTGCCCTATAGACCTGAAACTCCGAACCTTGGGGTTTAGGGTTTAGGGTTTAGGGTCAACTCCCAACCGAAAAGCCCTAAACCCCTTTTTGTTTGCATCCGGGCTTGGGGAGTCGGCCGAAAAAAGGTCAGGAAATTGTTGTGACCCTACCTATAGTCTCCATTGTAGTTCCTTTTTCTGGTTTAGCCAAAAAGATGTTAACGAGTTTATAAGGTATCCCCAAAAAGGAACTACAATGGAGACTATAGGTAAACCCTAAACCCTAAACCCTAAACCTTAACCCTAAACCCTAAACCCTAAACAAAACTGGATTCTCAAAGCTTGAGCAGCTCTGGAGGTCTGGCTTGCTCCACGACGCAATCATTCCAGCATATGGGGGTTTCCGAAAATTAGGGGACCCTGATATAGTACCCCAAATAGTAGGGTCCTTATTATAGGGACCCCAAAATAAGGTACCCCTTGTTTTCGGAAACTCCCATATGGGGGTTTCTGAAAATTAGGGGACCCTGATATAGTACCCCAAATAGTAGGATCCTTGTCATAAGGACCCCAACAGAAGGTACCTCTTATTTTCTGAAACTCCCAGATGAATCAGCAGTAACAAACTCAAGCTGAACACAGCTATCAGAAACACTTCCCGCACAGTTTGGCCGTTGCTGTATGTAGTTCTCGTGCCATAGTGACCGAGGTTTGAATAATCTGCTGGCCTTCGTCTGACCCACTCCGATACCCCTCGCCAAAAAAGTAGAATTTCCGAAAGATGCAAATAAGAAAAGGAAACCAGCTGTGCTCCGCTCCCACTGTTGAAATCCTTTCCGGTTGGTGAAGAGTGAAGTTCAATTTTCTGCTTCTCTTGTGACAGATGTAGGGTTGAGAATGGTTAAACGCTTCCGGGTGCACGTAAGACTCGATCTCTTGCCGGGGCACAATGAAGTCGACCGTCGGCTCCTGTCGATGATTTCGAATCGAATACTCCCATGATGTTTGGAGCTCTTTTCGGAGAGTACCCTGGAATGTCATGAAAAGCGTTTCGATAGGAACTATACTTTCTATACCCAGCTGTGAACATGTACTTTGCGGATGTGATGAAAGGTTGGAGGGACGAACCAAAGCACTGGACACAAATGAGCGTCTGCCTTGACCTTGACGTCTAAGGCAACGGGGTTGCAGGATATCGAGGCGGGATTCTTTGCTCAGAACGTAGGTGACGACTTCCTGCAGTCTGATCATCCACGAGAAACAAAATGCTAAGCTACCAACTTGAAACTCGCATAGGGTAACAAGGACCCTCAAACGGATCTTAATTTGCGGAAGTACATGGGGCACAGGGGTCCATGTCGGAATTCCCAAATAAAGTTTCGATGGTCATCACAGGGATCTCATTTCTTCGTTGTCCATGCCGTATACTGCCTATACTCTCCGAGCCATCTTAATCTTCCACATCCAGGTCTAATGGAGTGTACCCTAAGCCTACAATTTCCCAAACCCGGCTTTAGAACAACAGAAAGCCCATCTATGCAACCCTAAACCCTAAACCCTAAACCCTAAACCGTCCCCAAGAGAGACTCTGGGCTCGCCCTCTGTACTCTGTACCCATAGGCCCCATAGTAGTCCCTTTGTGGGATTACCTTATAAGATCGGATTCTAAACATGAGCCCCAAAGAGGAACTACTAAACTCTAAACCCTAAAACCCTAAACCCCCAAAAAGGAACTACAATGGGGCCTATGGGTAAACCCTCCTAAACCCATGGGTCCTTCGACGAGTTGATCGGTGTGTAAGACCGACTCAGGTGCTCTACCGAAACCTGCCAGGATGGCTTGGGTCTAGGGTTTAGGGTTTAGGGTCTAGGGTTTATAGGGTTTAGGGGTTATAGGGTTTAGGGTTTGAGGTTTATAGGGTTTAGGGTGTGTAGGGTTTAGGGATTCCGGGGATTCGGGTTTAAGGCTTACGGAGTTGTGTTAGGCCTTACAGAGTTGAGGGCTTGGGGCTTTCAGGCTTGTAAGGAAGGCTTTTAGGGCTTTTAGGGTTTAGGGTTGAGGACTTCTAAGGCGTTTAGGGTTTTCAGGGGTTCAGGGTTTAGGGTAGTTTGGGGCTGCTAGGGTTTAGGGCTTGGTAGGGTTGAAGGCAATGCGGGTTAGGGTTTAGGGTTAGGGGTTTGGGGTTTACAACGTTTAGTCAAAAGATGAGGGTTTAGTCGAGATGCTTCATGTGGTAAGCTTCCTTTCTCTGACATCCTCGAGGTCTTGCTTCACGGTTTAGGGTTTAGGGTTGATGTCCTAATTCTCCGAAGCGTGGGGGGTGGGGATTGAAGTAGTCAGGCGCTTCAGCTGTGGGGGTTTAGGGTTTAGGGTTTAGAGGCTTAGGGTTTAGGGGATTCAAGTTAAGGGGTGAGGTTCTAGGGCACGGCACTGGTTGCGGATTCACAGGCTACGGGTTCACTACACAGACTTCGACATCCACAGCAAGATATCACCATGAGGCCTCACCAAATCCAACATACCCATACTCGCGTGAAAAGCCAAAATTTCAAAGTCCCGGTAGACCATATAAACCCTAAACCCGAAGCGTGCTAAAACCGCTAAAACCCTAAATCCCGAACTCTACATTGCAGAGCGCAGTTCTTGTCTCGAAGTTCGGCCTTGAAGCTGAACGCCATTAAGATGCTAAGTAGGGATTTGGGGTAGTATGTAAGAAAATGATATACCGATATCTATATATATATATATACACACATATAAACACATATGTATATATATATATATACTTATAGCTATGACACAATACACGATGATCCACCAACCGTATATGAGATAGGCCAAGATAGGATACAACTGAAGGTACCTACGATAAAAAGAGATAAGATAAGACAATAACACATCTTATGCTTTCGTAGACGATGCTATGACATACTATACTTTTCTATACTTTCTACTATACTATACTATACTATACTATACCATACTATACTAGACTAGACTCTACAATGATGTGATAGTGTATGAATAACAATAAGAATATGAAATGATATGTGATGTGAACACGAAATGTAAATGACCTGAATATGGTATGAGCATGATAAGATATGGACATGGTATGAGATGAGATGATATGAATATGTATACATATATATATATATATATATGTGTGTGTGTGTGTATATACATAACCCTAAACCTTGAATCCTTAAGCTCTTCAAATGGCATCTGAGAGGAGCCTCGAGATTCGAATGGCCGTTCCAGAGCTTCAAGCCCTGGGGCAGCAAACGGCTTCAGAGTTTTGCAAGGGTTTAGGGTTTAGGGTTCTCAGGGCTCAAGGGGAGTTTAGGGTTTAGGGCTTAAGGGTTTTTCGGGATCAAGGATTCAAAAGGGGGAGGGGGGCGGCGAGGCGAGGGCTTACTGAGTTTACTGAGCTTAGCGTCTAGGATTTGGGAGTATGGGGCTGAGTGCGTTGAGGGCTCAAGGGTTTGGGATTAGGGCATATATATATATATAAGCGTCGCTTTGGGATTGAGGACTTCAGGTGCAGAGTGCTTGCGGTTCAAATCTTCATACGTGTTGTCTGTTCATTGTCGATCGCTTACTTCGTTGGTTGTTTTTTATATATACCTTTACACACCCATTGAAGTATGGATCCACACACACAAACACTCAAGCATCACAGCTTCCAATTTGCACTGCTGTTTGATTTGGGGGGGTTGGGGTTCCAGTCTACTTTGGCCTGGGATATGGGGGTTTCCGAAAATAGGGGACCCTAATATAGTACCCTAAATAATAGGATCCTTAGTATTATAAGGACCCCAAAATAAGGTACCCCTTGTTTTCAGAAACTACCATTTGGCCTGGGATATACCTCGGATACTCTTCGGTGTCAACGAGTAGCAAAATGACATCCCTGTGGATGCCGGTTTAGGGTTTAGGGTTTAGGGTTCTTTGCTGCCCTAAACCCTAAGCCCCTAAACCCTAAACTAAAATACCGTCAAACCCTACTCTACGTCTTCACCCTCGGCTTCTACATCCCCAAACCTGAAGGCAGAAACAAGGTACAAAACCCTGTGCTTGCGCTAAACCGGACCTGTGGCCGAAACAACCTAAGGAATTCTAAGACAAATCCATCAGAAGGAACCCCTAAGAAGGCAGGTTTTTTTTCGGCTACAGGTACCTATAGTCTCCATTGTAGTTCCTTTTTGGGGATACCTTATAAACTCGTCAATATATATATATATATATAAATATATTTATTTATTTATTTATTTATTTGGTTAAACCCAAAAAAGGAACTACAATGGAGACTATAGGTAACCCTAATTCCCCAGTTGCCAGCTAGTAAGGCCTGGAGCCTGCTTAGAGCACTAAGCCAACGTCCTTTGAGTTTAGGGTTTAGGGTATATAGGGGTCCCTTTTTTAGGGTTCCTCAAAGGGATCTATAAGGGTTTAGGGTTTAGGGTAGCTTTCCCCCACAGTTGAAGGTTTAGCGGAGGACACAGCCAAGAGGTTTTAGAATAATATAGGGGCCCTAGTAAATAGAATAGGGTTTTGGCGGCATATTATACTATAATTGCAACAAGTAACCCGCAGAGTAGTATAGGTAATCATTAAGGCCCCTATATTAGATAAAGCATAGCAAGAATAGCTGAAGGGCAGGTAGAGGCTAAGGTTTAGGATCCCTCCACGAGTTCCCGGAAATCGCAAATACTCTAGCCTGGATCCTGAGAAGTAG